TTTTCGGTTTCTTTGCGGTTCTTTTTTTTGCCAGTTGGCTAGCTTTTCCGGCGGGTTTCACCGCGGCTCGTTTTTCTATTTTCATTTAAATTAGTCAAATAAATAAGATTTTTCCATTTCATCCATTTTATTCAGGTTGAAGCTTCCAAAGGAATTCATCGTGGAAGATGTCAGGCTACGTTCGTTCATTCATTGGCAAAGAAGATACGCCTGGCTGGGATACGTTTTATTCTTTTTTCCTGTTTTTCTCTGTAATTTAACATTAAGTAAGAATGCTCACACGCACATACACACAATTACATTAAGTAGCTATATAGGTAGGTCAGATAGGCATAATTTTAATTGTAGGTAGGATAGATAGGAAGCATCCAACACTAATGTAGTTGAATAGGTAGGCAGCGTAAGTTTATCTCTTCTATTTTTTCTCGCACCCACATTACACGCATCAGCCTATTATACACACACACACACAAACACATACATAAACACATATTAGTATTTGAGCGTTATTTTATTTTCATTACACATTCTAATTTATTATTACTAAGGTTGAGAGTAATTTAATTTCATAGGTAGTTAAAAGCAATAATTTAATTCTAGGAACAATCTTGTAATTTAAATTAAATAAACGCTGTAAGTGTATCGAAAGGTAAGTTAGTTATTAAGTTTTACATTATTATTATTAGGTTGGAGCCCAAGGCATTACGTAGGTGGTGGGGTGGGTGCCGAAAGGCCAATGAATTGGGCTCTTGAGTTTTGTAATTTTAGGTAAGCTAGGGCCATAATGTAATGAATAGGTAAGTTAAGGCTACGTTGTAACACACACTCATTAATAGATTTAGGGTTTAAGTTTTATATTACTAAGTTGGAGCCCAAGGCATTACGTAGGTGGTGGGGTGGGTGCCGATTGGCAAATGAATTGGGCTCTTGAGTTTTTTTGTAATTTTAGGTAAGCTAGGGCTTAATTGTAATGAATAGGTAAGTTGAGGGTACGATAGCCGATAGACTCTGAATTTCGAAGTCTGTTGTCAGAGGTAAGCCTTGGTGGCCAGTGGTGTATCGGCAATGGTTTACTATCCGGACGGCAATGGTTTACTATCTGCACGGTAATGATTTACCATGCGGCACGGCCATAGTCTACTACCCGCACGGCTTCCGGACGGCAAATGGTTTACTATCCGCACGGCAATAGTCTACTATCCGCACGGCAATGGTTTTCTATCCGGTGCCCTGGCTGTCGGTGAACCTCTGTGCAAGGAGTAAGAATGAAGGGGGACTTTCGACTATCGTACCATTAACAATTTAATATAGATTAGTTAAGGTAATTGAATAGGTAGATAGGATTATTTTTATTAAACAATTTGAGATGCAGGCACCGCTAAGCTTTCTGATGAGAATCTATTCTTTTTCTATCTTTCTCCATCAACACGGGCTGTGTTTCAACAACAACCTCGAGGAGGACTGGCACCAGTTTTGGAGGACAACGTAGGAACCGGACCGCATTCAACATTCTGCCTTTGTCGAATGGACGACGGTAAGTTTTTTTACATTTTACTTTATTATTTTAAAATTTTATTTATTTGACATTATTTTCATTTTATAATTTAATTTTTTTTGCTTCTAAGATTCTAACATTCATTTACTACTACGCAAATAAAAAAATTTTGTTCACAGAATGATGAGAGGTGGGCAGTGGTGGGAGTCAGCACGATTTAGATGGTGGTCTCATGATGATTTACATATGATGATGGTGGTGTAGGAAGAATCAGCTCGTTGGCTGTTCGACTGACACTCTGAAGTTTGGATGGTATTTTGTGTGCCGACCAGATGGTGGTGGTCGGTGCAATGGAAAGTACAGTAACGACGATTTTTGAAGTAAGGTTTAGTTTCGTTTTTTATTTTTCTCATTCGTTCATTTTATCACTCAACCTTTTAAATTATTCTTCTATTAATTGATTCGTTAATTCATTCTATTCATTAATTGAATAATTGATTTATTAATTAATTAATTCATTCACTCATTCATTCAACCAATTATTCAATCATTCAGTTAATCATTTATTCGATCGTTCCTTTGTTCCTTGATTTACTAATACGCTATTAAAAAAATGTCTACAGAATGATGAGAGGTGGGCTGTGGTGGGCATCAGCACGTTTCAGATGGAGGTCTCATGATGATCGTTCCGATGACAATTCGAAGATAACAACAAAGACGGTTTTTGAAGTATAATTTAGTTTCTTTTTTATTTTTCTCATTCATTCATTCATTTTATCACTATCTTTCAAATTATTCCTCAGTTACTTTATTCATTGATTCATTCTATTCATTCATTAAATCATTGGTTGATTAATTAATTAGTTAATTTATTCATTCAACCAATCGTTCAATCATTCAGTTAATCATTTATTCGTTCGTTCCTTTGTTTCTTGATTTACTACTTCGCTAATTAATAAAACTTGTCTACAGAATTATGAGAGGTGGGCTGTGGTGGGCGTCAGCCCGTTTCAGATGGTGGTCTCATGATGATCGTTCCGATGACAAATCGAAGATAATGTTAAAGGTAAATTTGTTTTTGTCTCATTGTACCTTTGAAAGTACTCGAATTTGAACAAAGATTGAGTGTTACCTCAAAAAGATAAGTTGCCTATTTTTTCCAATTGCTTGTTTTTTATTTTAGTGAATTTTTTTTTTCAATTTATTTTTCAGTATCCGGTCAAATTCATTCCATCGATGCGTGTCAGATGATGGTCGGTGCAATGGAGGTTCGTCGGTAGTGAGTGAAGTTTCTGGAGAGTGCGCGCCCGCACATTTACATACACACACATCAATACAACACATACATACACAACATCTATTCATTCGGTGTCGTTGTTGCTATGTTTCTCTTCAACTTTATATTTTCTTTACCGTGAACCGGGTTTTAATTTAATTCATAGGTAAGTTAGGGACTGAGATGAGTTAAACAATTGTAGGTAGGCTAGGGCTTAACATTAGTTAAAAAGCTTCAAGTAAAATAAAAACGCTAAAATATGTTAAATAAAATACTTGAAACATCTAAAACGAGAAATACAAATTTGTAGGTAAGTGAGTTGAGTCAATGTTTATAAGTAAGCTAGGGCCCTGAAAGTAATTTTATTATAGGTAGGTGACCGACTATTATTCTTGCGACTTCTTACTAGTTTTGTGTGATGTGTTTGTTTTCGCTTCACGACACCACACCAACAAGACAAACTACATTTCATTCTCGTCGTCGCCTTAAATTGTACCTTTTTGAACAATCTTTTTAATAATGTCTATTTATTTATTCATTAAATGTTGACTGGTTTCTAGTTTTTTTAAAAATTGGTTATGTAATTTTTGGATATTTCTTGATTTACTTTGTATATATGCATGTATAAATTATTTCTGTTTAGTATGTTGATTTAGTCATTATGATATGTTGTGAACTGTTCTTACTAAATGTTCATGTTACGTGGTTTATTATCCTTCGAGAACTTCTAAGGAGTGTGTATGATAATAATAATAATAATGGATAATAATTATTTTTATCGGTCGATATTTTGTTATATTTGTTTATTTAAAATACGAATTTAAAAAAAATTGACATTTTAAAATTTTAATTAACCGTCACTTTTCATTTTTGAATGAATTCAAATAAAAGCAACTACTGTGTTTTTCTTTCTTTACTAAAATCTCGAAATTGTTTGTAGATCTGTACGGTTAACTGTTCGAGTTTGAACAGGCCTTGCAAATTTTTTTTATTTATTTTTGTTTTTATTTTTGTTTATTTGGTTCATTCAATTTAGTTGATTGATTGGTTGATTGATTGATCGGTTGATTGATCGGTTGGTTGATTGATTGACTGACATTTTCTGTTTTAATCACCTTAACTTTTAGAAAAAATCATCTACAAAATTGTGAGCTAGCAAAAAATAAATGTACAAGAGAGTTGAAATATATCCAGAACATTTCAGCGTTTTATTGCTTCCGATGAATGTGATGCTAATGGCTGAAGTTGAACTTAGACTGACTCAACTCTCATCTCAGTAAACTTGAGAGAAGAATAATAGCTACGGAATGTTTGCCAGTTAACACCGTTAGCATTGGAAGATTGTCCTGCTTTGAAGTAGCGACCGTTGAGACAGGCTGTCCAGCAAGCGTAATACCACCACGCACCTTGGTAGACCTGCGCACAGTTGTATCCGTAGGTATCGTGATCGCTGTCGTATGTGGTGAATGAGTGGTTGGCCATGGAGTCGCCTGTTTGATTGCGGGAAAGTATTGACGTAAATATTTAAACCATGACAACGGTTCAGAAAAGTTAATTATTTTCATGTAATATTTTGTCAAAAGTTTGAAATGACCAGCTGTTCCACTGTATTTTCCGATGTTCAGAACGTAGTAAGTATCTGGCGAGCCAACACTGAATGAATCATAAGCTGCACACGCCACCTTCCCTTCGAAATCCTCCAACACGAACAAAACTTTGTACTTTTGGTTGGACGTTATGCGGTGGATGTTGTCGTTTCCTGGTTGAAAAGTTTTTATGCAGTTCACGTTTGCGCGATTAAATGAAACTAACCGATCCAAAATTCTTTCCTCGAGTCGCCAAATCCTCTTTCATAATCAGTCCAGTTTCTGTAAAAGTTCTCCGAGCCATCCATGCGACGCTGCATAACCTGGCGAGGTTGAATGAACAAATAATATCACATCAACACAGTACAGTTGCCAATGTTTTCAATCGAGTTAAAAATTAATTATTCGCATTAAAGTATCAACATTTTTCTTATTTTATGTCCTGCATATTTTGTAAAATTATTAATATAAATAATGAAATGAAATATTTTTTGTACCTAGTTATATGATACACCAGGATTGAAATAACTGCAACCTACTTAAAAAAAATGAAAAGTTACAATCGTTACTAACAAAATATCTGTTGCTCTTGGAATACTCCGAACAAAAGTAAGCATTTCTGGGGTACAGATCCGCTGGAAGATTTTGTGATAAAACTTATAATTTTATTACAATCAAACATTATTCAATGAATTCTTTGCAAATTATTTTGTACGTCATGAATCCATCCAACTAATTAAATTTATTGACAATTTCTTGCAAATCACAGCTAGTAAGTCAGGGGTGCCAAGCATAATTTCAGCCAATATTGGTATTATAATCAAAGCTTCAAAATAAAACAAATGTCTGATTTACATTTGCACTAAACGTATTGTGTTTTATGATGTTACTCTATTTACATATTATAGTTAATTGTGACTGAGACAACCTCATTATGAATGGTTTCGAAATTTTAACTCGCCTGGCACATAGCTGGAGAGTTGTTCCACGCTTGGTCGGTCCTGAAATTTCATATCATACATAGAATTTATTAAACACGTCAAAAAATAAAATTTAAACAAAATAAACTTTCTGGTTAAACTTCAAAAAATTTTATCAAAATTATTATTAATTATGCAAAGTTTGGACTTGAAAATTTTCACCCCATAAAAGACGCAGAGATCCTCGGAGAGATAGAGTTGAGGAGTGTAGGAGAAGAACTGACAAAGAACATTTTCAGTGGAGTTTGTTTTGTTCCATCTGAAGTTGAATCCAACGCATGGAAGTGCAACTGAAGTTTCACACATCCAGGCACATTTTATAATCAACAGATGAGGAACAACCTCGTCGATGGGATTTTGGAATGTAACATTAGCAGAAGAGTTCCCATTCGTTGCATCCCACTTGCCGCATAGGTTGCGCCAACACAACTTTCGTTCGATTTTAAGTTTGAGGACAACTCGAATAAACTGCTTTTAAACTGGAAACATTTGCCACAGACGCTAGTGATCAAAAATAATTTTAAAATTACAATCGAAACCATTGTGCAACTGAGTGTTCAGTAATAAAAATGAAATAGGTTCAGTTTTATGAACTAGCGGTATATAATGTTTTATAGTATAATTTGCGAGTGCTTCAACGATGGATGCATATTGTATCTGCGTGTATGCACCTACCTGTATGTATGTATTAGACAATTGTGAGTACTATGCATCTATGCATGAATCTTTTGCCTGCCTGCATTCATGCCTATGAAACGAGTTTGCAATTGCGACAAAACTTTTAAGTAAAATGTTACAAACGATGTTATTTTAAAATAATATGATCAGTTGCTAGCTGCTTCAACTTGTCTTTAGAAAAATGTCGTAATGCAGTTCAGCTCTGCGTTGTGGCGATTTGGTCTGTGTAGTTACAGTTTTGAAAGTTTCAATCTAATTATAATTATATTCAATTATATTTTTTTAAAAATGAACGTTTTCTTTTTCATCTTCTTACACTTCTTACCATAAATGCCATGTTGCATTGTTTTCTCCTTGGGACTACCCCAAAAAATAAATTGCTTGAATTCTTAAATTGGGTGTTCCATCTGAATCTCTTCGTAACGGTACACACCCAAGCGTTTGTTTAGTTGTTTAAAAAACACGAATCATTTTCAAAATGTTCGTGTTCGGTTAAGACACCAACGGTTTCATTGAAAATAGAATATTTTTGGTGTGGTCCGATTAACCGAATTTGACGGAATCTCATTCTGCTTGCCCTCAACTCCCAAACTGTTGCGATACAAAAAATACGACTACAGACAATAATATGAGTTAATGTCCAATCGCCCCTATCTGGTATGGCTAGTGAAAACATTTTACGTGATACCTTATAACGAGACTGAAGTCAAGAACGAGATTCTTGGTCAACATCTGGTTTATTTTAACTCGTTCACACACTGCAATCTGCGCCATCACCAAGTCGCACACGTTTAGTTTAATTTTAACTTAGTTCAAATGTATTAAATGGCAGTAAAATATTAATCCAGTTCAAAACAATCTCTCTATTGAACATTAAATTGTAGGAATTGCTTTCTAAAATCATAAATATATTTAGTTTAAATGCAAAGAACTGTTAATATTTACAAATATTTGAAATTTAAAGATGAAAATTTTAATGGAATTTAACCAGAACATGTAAAGAGTAACGATTTCAAAGATTGGTCAGAATGGAAGATAGAGATCTGAGATTCGGAGTACAAGGAGGAAAGTGAAGAAAGAAGGATCATAAACGAAAAAGGCCCAGCGTATGAGTGTTTGAAACGCGTTCGTATTATATATTACATCGACGTTGCTGTTCATGTAGATGGAATTTGTCAAATATTTCGAATTTAGTCATTACAATAGTTAAGAAAGAGTTGAAGATATGTTTAAAAATAAAACAAAAACACCAACTCATTCAACTGGAGTAGATTCTCATTTGTCTTCAGATGGTTTAAATATCTCGTCTTGAAAACAAGTCAAAAAATACTAATTTATGAAACTTAATCTTCCACAAAAAAATTAAGAAATGTTTAACTAGAAGTTTCTCAACGACCGTCTATGAACCGCTGTTTATAATACTCGTTATATATGTTCGTACATAGAGTTATAAGCTTGTTTGTTTGCGTGTGTGTGAGTATGTGTGTGTGTCTGTCTGTGTGTGTGTTTGTGATACCATCATATAAACAAGAACTTTAAAGAGGAGGTCACAAAATTATGACGTGCTTTACTTGGGAGGTGGATTTAAAACTTGTGAGACAGTTCGTGATAGGAAGGAAGAGATAGTCCAAAATACGCGAATAAAGGTGTGACACTCTTTATGGAACGAATAACCTGTGAGCGATTGACCGTACAGTAATGTTAATGTTTCAAATGATAATATGATCTGAGTCTACCGCTAAAATTACAACTTCTAAAAGATAAAACATGACTTTGAGCCATTATGGTTGAAAATTTTTGAAAAACCAGAAAGAAATTTACCTATCCCATACCATTTCTATTATGTGCTGCTGTGTTCGTGTAGTAGTTATAGATATTTTTTAGTTGTGAACATTGTGTTACATTTATTTGTATAGATAAATTCATACTCTTGTATTTACACGATGTGTGTATAATATATGCACATATATGTATAAAGTAATTGACCACATTTTTTAAATGCCATTTGAGTTTAAGCATGAACTAATAGTTTTAATTAATTTGATTTTTTTAAATTATATAAAAAAATATAACTATCTTAATTTAATTTTTATTACAATAAATTTTAAAAATATCGAATGTATATTAAATGCGTTTTTTAAGAAACTAACGTAATAATAGCTGTTAAGTAATTGAGTTTAACTTGTTTGAGTGTGTAATTTTAATCTGATTTTATCAACCCTTCTCACATTTAAAAGTCAGTTTTTTTAATATTTTTTTAGAATATATTTCAAATATTACCATAATTTTGTTAATAAAAAGTCGTTATTTTGCCAAAATATTTGTACAAATAAATGATTTTTATAATAATGAATCCTAAATTTTTTACATTTACTTCTAACCTGATTGAAAATTTACTTAATTTTAGTCATTTTGAAGCCATAATGAGTGCCAAAAGAGACTTAATCCCATTGAAACTCTTCAAAGTTTACCCTACCTCCACATCCGCCATCACTGCGACTTTCAAACCAACTATCGCAGCTACAACATCCACAGCAACAACCACTGCTACGCTGAATTCAGACCGTGAAGTTGACGAAAGTTTACGTGAAACGTCAGGCAAAGCTGCTGTTACAGCGACTTCTGGGGCCTCAGTAGAACCACCAAAAACGTCAAAAAATGAAGAAAAGTTCAACGATTTGTACAAAGGACTCTCGCCAGTTCTAGCCGATTCAGACTCCCCTTTAGGTCTGCCCGAGCTGCTGCGAGAGGAAAATATTCATCGGGATTTGCACTCCCCGAATTTGCACTCCCCGAATATGCCGCAAGAGTTAATTCCTCGGCTTGTATTTGATTTTGAGGAGAACCCATCAATTTCAATTCATAATTCGCGAAGAAAAAATAAAATTGTTTATTTTAGCACGGCTGTGGGGTTTGCGCTCCTCTCTGTGGCACTGCTGGTAGGTTTCTTGGTGAAACATCTCCAAGATGAAGACAACACGTCGAACATGATGCAGACCAACTACTCACTGACAACTAATGAAAATTATTCTGAAATGTCATTAAATAAAAGTTATTTTGAGGAAATAACAAATTCATATAAAAGTCATTCAGTTACCATTTTCCCAATGAATTATTCAGCAACAACAGACTTTTAGGAACAACGTGAGAGGAATTACGATTAATTTGAAAATTATTATGCAGTGGCCAGTATTTTGAGCAATTAATTATTTATGATAGAAATAAATAATGTCAATGGAAAGTTTCAAAAAATAGTTACATTTAAATGTGATTTGTATAAATTCTCCACACATAACTATTTTAACACTGTGTGGGCGTGAGTAAGTGTTTTACCTTGTGATAAATTCGACCAAATTTCAAAAATGTATGAAGTTTTTATTTTTTTGTCAAACTTAAATGCACAGGCGAGCCTTTTAATGTAAAGTTTTTTTTAATGTTTTATTAAAACGTTCCCATTTGAAATAATGATAGATTAATAATTATTACCTAAAACATGGATTAATTTAAAATTTAATTGTAAATTAAATAGAAATAAAAACTGATAATATAAAAAATTATTTTAAATATTTTTTGTGTCACGTAATAGTGTGTTTCATTGTATTTAATGGTATTTATTAACGTAATAAATTATTTTACAATGTATATATATGTATATATAATTATATATTAAAATTATATATATATATATATATATAATATGTATTTATTGCGTGTTACTCTGTAGCTTGTATTCTCTATAATGTCTATGCCAGAGCTAGTAGTACTAAAAATCAATGCAGTATCTACTAGGATGGGAAAGCCTAAATTGTTGGAACTTCAGTCGAAAGATTAGTAAATGTCACCAGCGAAATATTTTTATTTCTTTGTTAAGTTAAAACCAGCGTCTATCTATATATCATGCTTTCATATCTATCTATATATCTATATCATGTTATCATGCTTTGATAGCATCGTGACATTTCCTTCAATTGAACATCAATTTCTATACGTATAGATAAATTTTTTTCAAATTTCTATTACTACTGTTACTACTACAACTACTGCTACTACTACTATACCACTATACTACCACTATTACTTCTATTATTACTACTGCCATTACTTCTACTACTACTACTACTATTATTACTACTGCCATTACTTCTACTACTACTACTACTAAAATACTACTACTACTACTACTACTACCACCATTATTACTACTGCCGCTACTTTTACTACTACTACTAATAGTAGTACATCTACTATTACTACTACTACTACTACTACTATATTATTACTACTACCTATACTGCTACTATTACTACAATTACTACTATTACTATTACTAATGTTAATTCAGCTACTTAAATTTGGTTGCTACTACAATTACCATTGGCATTTTTCTTGGTACTAATATATCAGTATTATCATCAAACTATTACGACTGCATTTGCAAATTGATATAGCCTACTGTTGTCAGTACAGCTGAAACTATAAATCTAAACTTACACGAAGATTTTGCCAAATTTATCTTTGACCTTGACATCTCAGGCCCATGTATTTGAATGTTCACAGAACGTTCTAACATTAGCAACACTACAGATGAGATGTTATATGTTTGGAGTTATTGGTAATAAATTATTTTATCACTGACTTTTCAAATTACTTCGTTTTTACAAATCTGAATAAGATATACTGAACTGTTTTAATAACGACTATTTGAAAATATTTGCATGAAGTGGTCTTCAACATAAAGAGGTTGGCCCAACAATTAAAATAAATATTTCTTTTAACTATTTGTTTCAATAATAAATTGTCAAAAAGAGCATGTTTCAACTTTTTTGTTTTCATGTAAGTGGAATAAAACCTGTGGTGTTAAAAACAGTTGCTAATTGTACAAACGTTGGAATGACGAAATAAATGTCCATGAAATGAAGAATTGCTGTGAAGCTTCGAAGTTTTGCTAGAATGCTTGTGACTAGTTTTCGGTGAACATTGGTTAATAAATAATTTTAAACTAAAAAAATGAGAGTTGATGATCGAGCCTGGTGACGAAATATTTCGCGGTCATTTTTTTAATAAAGAGCAGAGAGCGAGTCCAATCGCTACTGCACCAGCAACAACAAGGCCTGCCGTGACTCGAAGGTTCATATCATTGAACCGTTCAATAGCTTCCACTCTGGATCTCATTTCGTCAAATTTCTTAAAAAAAAGTTCAATGCTGTCGCGATCGTCAAGTCGCTCCTCTATCACCACAGATAACTGTGAGCTGGATGAACTGCTGGTTACTGGAGCTCTGCGCAAACTAGCTCCTGGTTGGATTTTCTCTATTGGCGGGATTGCGTTAGTAACAGTTTTTGCAGAAGAGGCAGCAGTAGTTGCAGACGGAACAGCAGCGGTTGCAGTGGTTGCTACAGCAGCGTCGAGGGACTGAGGAACATTTTCTTTGACGCTGCCCTTCATGGAACACTTTCCGGAATGCGTGGGCGGCGTGTTTCGAGATGCCATCTTGGGATCGTCGGGCTGAAAGTCCTGTTGAATTAGGTGGTTTGGGTTAGTTCATCAGTTGAATTTGTGCGTTCATTTATGCAGTTGTACGCACACATGGTGATTATTATTATTCATAATAATTTTTTAATTCGAAATAAAAAGAAATAATTTGACAGTAAAATATAGTAAAAAAATATTTAAATGGAATGAAATTTTGTAAAAAGTACTGAAATGATAAAACATACAGACATTTTCATGATATTTAAATCAAACAGCAGCCATTTATTTTAACTTTATTAAATAAAGTGTCAAAAAATTTAAAAATTAAATTGAAAATTCTTAAAATAACCTCTTGTGGCAATGAAATCAGAAACTTTTGATATAATTAAAAGAAAAGATTTTGCCGAAAGCAGGGTAGGTGTTACAATTAACGTTGCCAGATCAAAATACTTTTATCCAAATAACAATTTCCCGAATGAGGTTAATTTTCCAAAATTTTTATAGATTTTTTTTTCACAAAATTTTTCACAAAGCTGAAACTACGTTAAATATTAACATAAATAATTAAATTTAAAGTACCTATGCATACAAATATATTTATATACACGCGTGTGTGCGCGCGTGTGTGTGTGTTTTCGTGTGTGTGTGTGTGTGCGTGCGTGTGTGTGCGCGCGCATGTGTGTGCGTGTGTGAATTTAAAATAATGAAATGTTAGCAATGATAAAAAGGCTGGTCATAAAATTATAATATAACAAATACTAATAATAATAAATAAATAAAAAGAATAATAATCACAACTGCAGTAGAATAAATGTATAATGTTGATAATGTTAAAAGCAATAAGTAAGTTTATTTGTGTATTTCAGGATAGTCGGACCGTATATTTTAACCATTAGTCGTGCCAGTATGTTATTTTTTAAACTTAATGAGTTTCAATGTGACATTCGGCTAAACACCAACGGTAATTGTAAATTGACATAATAATAATTATGACAAATTTTTTTTAATTATTTTTTATCATTATTATCATGGCAATTCAATGAAATACAATACACACAAACACACACACACATAAACACGCACACGCACGCACGCACACGTACACACCATTTTTTGGATGTAATAAGAAAGGATCATTTTCATTTTACAATAGAAGAATCTTAACATTTTTCCATTTCGAACTAATTCTTTCACTGCTATATTAATAATTATTCATTGTTGTTTTATTCTTCGATATTTAAAAAAAAATTATCGATTTAATTTCTTATTGTCAACCTTTCGTATCGTATCGTATTGTATTTATGTTTTACGTTCAGTTTAGTTCAGTTTTTCTGGAAAGAAATTTCTACGGGTTTTAGAAAACTGGTAAAAATAATAAAAAAATATCTTTTAGAATCAGGGTGTCGGATGAAAAATATCCAGCTCCGACCGACACCGAACCACGACGACCGACGACGACCGATACCGAACCACGACGACCGCCACCGATTCGCTGGTTAGAACGGCATGTGATTGCCACACAACTTTTAACTAAGATTTATGGTATGGAAGAATTCTTGGTTAGGGCAAGCGCAAGTGCAGCGGCAAATCTAGACACTAAACAGCTTAAGTTGGGAGGTGGGTTAACTTTTTCAAATTGTCCAAAAGTTGACATTTTATAAAATTGTTGCTTCTTTGACGCATATTTTGGCCACTTGTTTAATACTGGATATCCTTATTGTATTTGGTTATTATTAAACAGGCAGAAGCAACTACATACCGCATCACACTTTGACAATAGTATTATTAATATTAATAGTCATTATTATGAATAATGTCATTATTATAATCATAATCAAAAGTCTAATTAATGTTTTAAAACCATCAAAATTAATACAAAAACTACTTTCAAAATTGTCATATCAATTACTATCACAGAGAAAAAAATTGGAGAGCTGTTTTAAAATATTTTTGATAATAAATTAAACCGTTAAAATACAGCCACATTGAAACTCATTGACATGCATGCATTAAAAACATACAGTGTAGCTGTCAATAAGGAAGCAAAAAGAGTAAAATTTCGAACTTTTTATAAAAAATAAACTATTTTCAAAAATTTAAAGTTTGTTTTTAGTCTTTGAGACGCTGTGACCAAAGAACAAAAACCGTAATCGTCAACGCAATGAGGGTTCCCGTAGCAAATCCATAACCAAAGTCCTCCGACATCACCGAATCTGTACTCATGTTGAGCTCACGAGGGGCTACAATATCGCAACAAGCGACCTCAAATGAATCATCCAAATGAAACATCTGGGAATGAAGATGTCTGCTGCATGTGGTGCCTTTTTCCGCTACTATTTTTCGCCAAAATTTTTCCGCTTCAGTCGCCACTACTTCTCCCTCCTCGCTCATCATCTCTATAGCTTCGTCCGATTCTTTAGTTTGAGAAACTTCGACGGTTTCGAAGTCCTTTACTGGTATACTTGGTGTATACGTTTTCTTCCCAAAGTTGGAATCATCAAAGTCATCATCTTTAACAAATTTAGATGCAGCCAAGTAATATTCGAAGCCATTGCTAACAGTTTTGACGTCATTGCCACACAAAAAAATGCTAGCAGCTGCAACCAGTGCAGCGGTTGTAGCTGTAGCAATAGTTGATGCAGTTGACGCAGTAGTAGCAGAACTAGTCGTGGCATCGGCAACGGAAGCTGTAGAAGTAGCTACTGTGGAAGTGATAGCTGCGGCTGTAGTAGCTGTAAAATTACTTGCTGCAGTTGTGGCCGAAGCTGAAGAAAATATCGAAAAAGGAAAGTATCTGTCGAGTGACATAGCCTGTGTGAAATAATTACAGCAGTTCAATGCATTTAGTGGGGTTATTAAATTATAAAAACTCATGATTTAGGTACTGTAAATAAGTATTAACAATTCGAAACTTTTTTTTATTGAATTTTTATCTTAAATAGAAAAAAACTGAAAATTGATTTTATGAAAGTGGATAATATTTCACACAATATTTAACCATCATTCAAATAAACTTGGGAATTCTTTTATATAGTTTTAAATAGTATTAACGTTTAAAAATGTTAATTTGTAGAACATGTAGGTTATATACTAATTGCGCATTCAAAATTTTATCTTATATCATTATATTTATTACATAAATATTACAAAATTGACAAATAATGAATCTAACATGTAACAAAATTAACCTTCTTAATTTAGCAATAAAAAAAACTCGAAATTTATAAGTTTTCACAAATAAAAAGCTAAAGTCGACAAGTTTTTTTAATATTTCTTATTAAAGTCGTTCTGGATTAAATATTACTTTGAAATTATATTATATTAATAATAAATATTATTATTTATTAACATTTAAAAAAGTGACCAAAATATACTCCACGCTCTAAAACCTTGAAACGTTATGTTGAATATTGCTGTATAAATTAACACACACCACACATACACATCACACATACAAACACACACACACACAAACACACTCGCAAACACACCCACACATACACACACACACATAGATATATATATATATAAATTGATATATATATATATAATTTTTATATATGTTAGTGTATCGATAATTAATTGCTTATTATATTTTATTCTAGGATTGCCGCAAAGCCAGCAGGCCGAATTAAAATGAATAAATGAATATACTTAAGTAAGTCACGAAACTAAATGGAAGAAAGATATTTTCTAAAAAAAATAAATGAATTATTTTGAAAAGTAAATAAATTTATGAAATGAAGTGACTAATAAAAATATCAATTTAGTTCGAAATGGTGATTTGACGTAGTAGTAGCAGCAGGAATGAACTAGTAACATGAAAATATTCATCATTTTTGGTTCTGATAGGAAAGAGTTTAAATTTTGAATTTTTATTTCTTCCATAAAATACTTTTTCCAATAACTTTTCTACAATTATCAGTTTTTTCAGGTTGTATATTAATGTTTGCCTTTGGAAAATATCTTTCAACTTTTATAGAATTTTGTGGAATCATCCTTAATAACATCTTTTAAAATTTTATGTCTAAATCTTTCGAAACTTTCAACGACTGCATTTAAAAATTTTGATTTCACTTGTTCTTTCAATTTGCTGAGACATGAAACAACATTTGTGCCTGTATCACTGTAGAGATAAATATCCTGAAGCCCCACCAGAATCTAATGTGTATATGCACCTTGCTTGTTTCGTTATATCTTCAAATAAACAACTTCCTCCGATATTTCCAGCTGTCAAAGTGTTAACAAAAACTGAAAATATAACAGTTGACATGGTATATAAAATTAAATTTAAAAATTATTGTTTACCATGTTCACCAAATTAATTCAGCCTGAAGGGCAAAGTAACTGAAAAGCTGTCACGCAACGACCATGTTCGAATCCGAAATAAACCTCAACTTACAACTTATCGTGAGAATGTATGCTGCGTATGATTTTTGGTATGTTGCAGTGAATAAAAAAAATTTATTTATGGAAAAGTGATATAAATGGTCAATAAGAGCAGAACGTTTTAAAAATTTTACCAGCTGAAGTATTGAAATAGAGATGAAGGTATATTTATAAATTTGTTTCCATCAAACGTGCCCACCGTACCGTCCTCAGCGAGGTCGTACGTGTTATTAATGTTGGAATTTATAATAAAATTGATATTATTATTATTATTATTATTGTTTGCACTGACCTTTACAACAACTTTTTCCAACCAAGATTTGAATATTTCAATCTTTAAATCCAAAATTCCCATGACGTTTATTGACCTTTTCTTCATTCTCAACAAAAATCGCGTCTTCAACGTCATTATCCTTCGTAAAGATTTTAAACCATTTATAAAAGTTTTATTTTGAATATATCTCCTAAACAATTTTTGACTGACTGATTGGTGTTATATCAGAAGTTTCTACACAACAAAAAAGCTTTTCCATCCACTGTTTCAACCGCTTCAAACTCTGCTTTCATCTTCACTCCCCACAACAGAATCTTTGCTAGTCCGATATTGAAGTTATAAATGGATCTGTCGTTAAATTTCGACATTATCGACATGGCTTTTTCTTTTGGATGCAGGTACAAAAACTCGATTTTTGAGTTAAATACGTTCAGCCAGACATAATGACCAAAAGAGCCAAAAATCTTGAGAAAAAAATATGCTATTTAAATACATATACGGCCCCTCAAAGGTAAAATAGTTCTTAATGCGACTATCACAGCAAGAAGTTTACCGACCCCTGTGTCTCAAGGTTGTTAGGTCAAAGAGGTAGAACCGCTACGATGACTACTTAAATTGAAGTTTTCGTTTAAGTATCTATCCACTTATCCACTTAAATAATTGTAATTAGGTTTTTATGATTCGTACTTCAACTGTTTTAAAATGTATTGTATAAAGATGTAAAATAAATCATTTTTTTATTTCTTTTAAAAATTTTTTCATTTGAATGAGTGGTTTATCGTTAAGTTTGCTCTACTTTTTTTTATCATATCCTAAACTTATTTTTTGTTATATTTATAATGCTTGTTGAGTTCAATGCTTACAGTTATTGATATTTTGCTAGTTAGGTTCTAAACTTTCTCCAAATTTGTTTATTTAATTTTTTTGAAAAGCATAATATAATAAATATCAAATTTAATTAATTAATTCCCACATTTATTATGAACAACAGTTTTACAGACATTTAAATGAAACCTTATCACATGCCCCGTTTTCATAATTTTCAAATTTATATAGAAAAATAGTCTTTTCATAAAATTATCGACATTTTAGTATAGCAAAAATCATTAAATGCTCTTTACAGAATGCAAATATCTATATTCATCTCAATTTACTAATGTTTTTATTAACAAATATATAATCCTCAACATAGAGTCCAAACTCAGGTCGCGAGGTGGCAATCTCTTTATGAAGATGGAAATTATTTTTGTTCATGAGGTCGGTGTATTCAGTTTTAACTCCATGACCGTACTCAACGGATAAAGTAGATATGGAGATTTCGTCAAATGGGAAGGATTTCAGAATTGGGACTTCGAAGCCTTCCACGTCCAGACTGAAATAGTCAACGTGCGATCTGTTCAGAGCGAGTAGCAGAGTCTGTAGCGGAAAACACGGGACTGAGTTGATTGACGATTGGGTGAATTTGGACTTCAAATTCTTGTCCACAATTCTGCCTGTCCCTCCAGCCTCGTCATTGAAAGTCATCTGCTTCAACAATTACCACAATGTAACATCAAAAATGGAGATACTTGAGTTTGTTAATATTTTCAATGAAAATTTATTTTATGATCAATTTCAATTGAATTATTTAAAACAAAAAAACGGTACATGTATAATTGTAATTTATAACCTGAGAAACGTAGTTATCTGAGCCAAGACAAGCGTTAATAGACCAGGAGTTTCTGTTCTTACCCATGAGTTGAGTGTAGAAAAATGCGTCAGCCTCCACCAACAGTCCTGTCCACTTTTTCACCACTTCCAGATAAATTGAATTCGATGACCTCTCCCCGTCGAGACCACCAGCTTCTACAAAAAAACCATTCGTCTGAACATTTCAACAAATTCGGTTATATCAGATCTATATTTTATTATTTGAATCCACAAAATAATATTCGTTGTACCTTATTTTGTAAAATGATTTCAATTTCAGTGGTTTGTGGCGTTTTCATGAGAGGTCTTGACATTTTGACCATTATCTTTTCACTCGGCGGGTCCATGACCTCTCTCACAAAATCAATCAACTCCTTGTCTTTTGAATCTGCTTTCCGTCTTAATAATTCATTAAATTTGTTCACCTGTTGGTCGGAGTAAGTGAAGTAACCTAGAAGTCGTTTGTTGAACGGTTTTTTAGTGTTCTTTATCGATTTTTCAGTGTTCTTTGCGGAAGATAATGTTTCATGCCAACAGTTGCTACCGACTAACAAGTTACTTTTGTAAATATACTGAACAGTCATAAGAACTGCCAAAATTGTTACTAATGAAAAGACGTACCATCTGAAAAAAAATTTCATTAAATTTTTTAAATAGGAAAACACATTTTTCAAAAGTCCAGAATAGTTTAAAAAAATATTTTTTACCTATATTTTGTTATCATCCTTTCAATGACTAGACTGTTTATAAATATTCAAAACAAAATTAAACGTCCCAACACAACTCAGAACTTTAGCTTAGGGAATATGTAAACTTTGGTTGGAATCAGCAAGATTGCAATAATGTTACATTAACACAGGTATACTATATATATTTTGAGTGAATTTGGTCACACTGAACAGAAGTTTATACCTGTAGAATAGAATAAAACTAATAAAAGAAAACGTGATATCTTTCTTACTTATCGATGCAGACGAACTTCAAACAATAGTATTACATAAATAGTTATACAATATAGACAGAAATGTGAATATATATATATATTAATATATATTTTTTTAATATGTATGTTTATTATATATATATATATATATATATATATATATATTAGATTAATTGGATATAATTAGATATATAATTAGATATAAGGCCATTAAGTATACAATTTTCATTAAATTCTATCGTTGTAGTATTATTTATGAATTTTTAAATTTAAATTTTTCTAATAAATTTATTATTTAGTTAAGTTTATTAATTAAATTAACAAAATGTTTTATTAAGGCTTATAATTTAAAAATAACATGTTAAAATAAAAAATAAATTAATGAAATATATTAAATAAAAATTAATAAAATTAAAATAGTTTAATTACAATAAAAAATGCTACTTTCGGCAAAATCACGATCACAGGCGTTCTGGTTTGAAGTACAGTTACAAATATTGTTACTATAGTAACCAAAAACTATAAACTAATTTAAGTGTTGACAAATAAAACTTGGATATATATAATATCCATGAATTAAAATATAAATACCTATTTTCTCTCTCTCTCTCTCTCTCTTATTTTCTTTCTTTCTCTCTCCCTTTAAATATGTATTTTAAATACATATATAAAGTACTTAGTACTTTTAGAATTTTAATGATGATCGAGCGTTGAGCTTAAATTTTTTAACCATTCAGGCTGACTGTGATGGGAATGATTATATAGAAAGAGAGAGAGAGAGAGCTGTCAGCTTTGGGAGATGATCATTGTTATACTAGGTTATAACATCGTTATAACAACATACATTAACAAGGATGTATGTATTCAGCCAGCGAATGAGTTCATTGGCTAGGTAATTTATTTTTTATCTTGGCTGCGTGGTTAAAAATACATATGCATGCATCTACTTAGGTATGTTTTCGTCGATAATGATGACACGTAAATAGAATGAAGAGCTGCCAATAGGAGAATGAGAAACATTTCGTCGATCGGTTGGGCTAATGCTGTATCAGAGATTGAAATCTACAGCAGATGTTCCTTACAATCTATGGATGGCAGTACGTCTATAATGAAATAAAAATAATTCACCTATTTGTTAAGCAACACGTTTTAAACAAACTTTCTCGATGGACTATTTCTATCTATATTATCCTTTGTCAGCTTTTAAAAGTTTCAATTTAGGTGATTTTTTTAAAAAAAAGGTGGATTTTTAATGAATATTTGTGCATTTAGATTTGCACAAAACGACACCATAGGTGGGTTAGTATTGGCTTATATAGGATAATCAGTTAATGTAGGTATGCATGTCTGTATGTATGTATGTATGTATGTATGTATGTATGTATGTATGTATGTATGTATGTATGTATGTATGTATGTATGTATGTATGTATGTATGTATGTATGTATGTATGTATGTATGTATGTATGTATGTATGTATGTATGTATGTATGTATGTATGTATGTATGTACGTACGTACGTACGTACGTACGTACGTACGTACGTATGTATGTATGTATGTATGTATATAAATCTCAACTTCAGGCAAATGTATCAGTAACCCAGTTATTTCAAATGTATTTCAAATCATCATCAATTTTGTCATTCCAGCCACACTTCACCCATCCATGCTCCACGTCAATTCAACTCTACCATACATACATTTAGCAATCATCAAATTTTTTAAGACGATACCGGGTACCTATTTGCTATTTTTGCACCACGGATTTAGACAACTATTAGGGAGGGGGCCAAAAACCTCTCCTCCTACCCCAGACAGATGTCTTTCAAATTGGAAATTCAATCGAAATCAAACTGAAGTTAACATGCATGTTTTGACGCGATAAATTGTAGGATTTAATGTTGCCATCTAACGAGTTTAATTTGAAAAAAATAGCTCTTAGTGATTTTGCTACATTGGTACTTAAATAAGAAAATATATTTACATTGAGCAATTAATTTATTTCAATGAGAAAACATTATTAGACGGTTTTCTTTTACATACTGACTTTAAAATGTTTGAAAATGAATTGGATGAAAAGCCGATGATTTGAAATGTGAATCACCTTTTTTAAGAATAATTTCTACAGAGATACGACTCAATACAAATTTTAAACGCTGGCACTTAACCGATTTGTGCCCGTATGACCATTTTTTTCGACTATGGCTACCACCTTATGAATTTTTTCTAAAAAAAAAATTGCAAGCAACCTTCTTTATATAGAAGTTCTTTTGCATGAAAGTTTCAAAAAATTAACTATAACTAAAAAAAAATCATGTTTTGAGACTAGGTAATTTTGGGGCTAATATTAATTTAGATTTCTATGTTTAGGTGTTCTTCTCTATCGACATAATTTTAAGAATTTTGAACTTAATTTGAAAGTATAATTAATTTCTTAATAAATATTATAATTACGTTCTTAAAAATTATTTGATTTTGTCTTTACGACAATCTTGAAAAATAAAGGTAAATTTTGCGAAGTTTCATGACGTAAAAAAAAAACATTTTACTCATATTTGAACAACTTTATTGAAAACGACAAATAAAAATTGAAATACGTTATATCTGGTCATCATTAATTAGAAAGAAATTCAAAATAACATTTCATGGTTCAGCCCCAAAAAGCATCAACCTACATAGGTAATGTAATTTAAAGGTTTCAATTAATATGCTAATTAGTGAGATAAATTATTAAATAATATCTAATTATATTCTAACAATTTCTCCCAAAACAAATTTGATTAATAATAATACAAATTATATTTTTTGTAGTCTGGTTACATAAATTGCATATTGTAATATTTAAGAGCGAAGTGATCATTCAAATATTCGTGTTTATGTAAAAAAAAACAAATTGTTTAAGTTTATTGGAAAAATAACAAAAGGTTAAACTAATCAAGAAAAAAAATATTGGTAGCAAGCAACAACAGTTCAAAAATTATAAAAATAGAGCCTCGTTTGTACGTATATGCAGCACTCGTCAAGCTAGACTAATAAGTAATCAAAGCTGTTTGCTGGACATTGAACGACAGAAGAGGTTGAATTTGAATACATAATGCAGCAAATTTTAAAAGAAAATCCTTTCAGTTTCAATTTATTAATCTATTTGTTTGTTTATCTAAAAAAATTATTTTTTTTTATCTTTAAATAACAGACAAAATGCGCAGAAATTAATAAATTGAAAATATGATCAAATGTTGTGAAAAAAAAGTAGAAAAAAGAAATATAGGCGGGAAAAGGCAGGAAGTGAAAAGAAGAAAATGAAAGATGGAAAATATAAACATGGTAAAAATATATATAGAATAAAAAAGATATTGGCGGGATGGGGAAGATTTAAAGTGGAAAGCAAAAATAGGAGGTTAAGAAACAAAGAAAGAAAGAGACACAGAAAGAGACTGAAAGCAAGAGAGTAAAAGAGAGAGAAAGAGTGAGAGAGAGAGAGAAAAAAAAAGAAAGAAAGAGAGAGAGAGAAAGACAAACAAAAAAGGTAAAAAACAACAAAAAATTGAAAAAGGAAAATGGAAAAACGCAGACCTAAACAGAGCAGAGGGAAAATTATATGATCAATTCTGCACTGAGGTACATACAAGGTATAGGGCACGCACACAGAAAATTAATTTGAAAATCAAAAACTATAGCGATCTATCGAGGTGAAAGTAGCGTCAAAAAAGTTGACATTCATTGCCATTTAATACGTATAGTAACTCTGTAGCTTACTAAGAAGACACTTTTGAATAAATGATTTCATTCCTCATTGAACGAACACGAACAAGTCAAATATTCCTTACTTATAATCATTTATTAAAAACTTTTTTGGTAGAATATTTAAACAGGAAAATAAACTTTCTTTAAAAAAATAAATAGTTCATCATTATGAGCCTTCAAGCCTTTAAAAATTTAGTAAAATAAATCATTTTTAGTGATAAAATTAGTAGTAGAACAACATCAAAATGGGTTAATAACAACATGAAAATAACAACATCGACCAACAAGCGCTTAACTGTTTTCTCAAAAATTCCTCAAAAATATAAAATAATAATTCTTCTTTCACGACGCACCGGACCAAAACGACAACATCCGGTTTACCCACCACGACTCAACAGACCACGATAAGACAGCAGATTAAACTTGTTGCATCTCTTTCGTCTCCTTGTCCGGCTCTTTATCAGCGGTCACAGTTTGCTCCCTTTCGATTGTGAAGCAGCAGAAATCTTTGGGCGAAGCGTCCTTGGCGAAGATCACCTCGTAGAGTGTGGCCGCAATCAGACCGCCTAGAATTGGTCCGATCCAGTATACCTGTTGTGGTGTCGATGGGTTAGTTATTCAGGGTCGAAATAGTGTTTAGGGTCTAAATGGTATTTGGTGTCGAAATGGTTTTTGGTGTCGAGATGGTATTCTGTGTGGTGAATGCCGAAATTGTGTTCAGTGCCAAAGTGGTATTAAGTGATTACGAAATAGAGGATTTACTGTTGCGAACAACAACAACAATGATAACAATAAAAATACAACTTTAGAAATCAAGCACATTACAAAACAGCAACAATATAAATATTATTAAACAGTTGCAACAGCAACACAACTTTAGAGATCAAATTCATTAAGAACAACAACAACAGCAACAACAAAGGAATAATAAATAAGGACGACAACAGAAACCGTCCCACAACAACATGTGGTAGCAGATGTCATGTTTCGTTGTCCAGAACATCACAACAACACAACAACGTCAGAATAACAACACAAACAACAACACAATACAAAATAACAATTTAGACAACAACACAGACAACAACACAAATGCCAACAAACCAAGAACCAGCAAACCGAAACAACAACAACAACAACGTACACAACAACAATAAAAAACTTAAATAGCAGCAAACAACGCTAACAACAACACAAAACCTACAATTTATCTTACGCAATGAATCATTCACCTCAACAACTATATCTCTCATCACCCTTCACAAACAATTTAAACCATTAAAACATCAACTTGTGTTTGTGTGTTTGCATGCGTGTGTCTGTGTATGTATGTATGAGTGTGTGTGTGTGTGTAGGTGGTGTGTGTGTGTGTGTAGGTGGTGTGTGTGTGTGTGTGTGTGTGTAGGTGGTGTGTGTGTGTGTGTGTGTGTGTAGGTGGTGTGTGTGTGTGTGTGTTGTGTGTGTGTCATGTACACATGTTATCTCAGTAAATCACATACAAAGGTAAGTGTAGTTCTTCATTGTTGCACACACAGACTGCCACCTATACATTATATTATGGGCCTCCTACGCAAGAAGATGCTGTATGGTGTTCATGGAGTCTCCATGAATGAATGAAATGAATGAATGAATGAACGAACGAACGAACGAACGAACGAAAGAACGAACGAATGAATGAATGTATGAATTAATTAATAACCACAAGAAGGAATAAAAAGCCAATGAATGAACAATCGAACGAACAAATAAATGAACGAATGAATGAACAAACAAACGAATTAACGAATGGGCAAACAGACAAACGAATAAAGGCATTAATGAACAAACAAACAAATGAATGAATAAATGAACTAACGAACGAATGAATGAATGAATGAACGATGCAAATACTGACAACTGTTACAATTAATAAATATGTATCTCAGAAAATGTTCTCAAAATATTTGTAAAAAAAAGTAATATTTATACCAAGGATTTTGTATTTTTTATAGCTCAGTCAAGGTCAACCTACTTAAATATTGGTTGAATGATCGTCTTTCTGTGATTGGTTCACTCTATATTATTGTTATTTATTACTCTTATTATTATTATTATTGTTATTATTATTATGATTATTATTATTATTAGTTTTTTTGCAGTTTTTGTTTATAAGTATGGCTGTATTCAATTAATAATAATAATAATTATTTTTACTATTATCAACTATTTGGTTCGTCTTCCTTTGTTATTGTTATTAATTAATTAATTAATATAATTATTATTCTAGTTATAATTATTTTTAAATAATTAATAATTAATATTACTTCCATTTCCATTATACAATATTATAAACTCTAACTTAATTGTTTAATGTTACCACACACGAATTTTTGTATTTAGACAGTCTTTAGACGAACTTTAGACAGTCTTTCAAAGTATTTAGACAGTCTCAGTTCCAAATCTCCATATGGTTTTATAGTGTTACCCATGGTTGCACGGTTGCAGATGCTTGTCTATGGCTGCATATTGTTATACACTTCAACGCATTGGTATAGCATGTAATGTTGATTACTGTGTAATGTTGTAATACATCATTGCGTATGGTTATAAATGGTTGCGTATGATTACAATTGGTTGCGTATTGTTACAATTGGTTGCGTATGGTTGTGAATCGCTGTTATATTGTACTGTTATAACTCTGAATCTTCTTTTGGATGTTCTTTTCTTCCTATCTTTCAAGTGTTAGTAAAATTGTTTTACACTTCTTTTTGATGGCAGTTCGTTTCTTCTTGAGGTGCGGATGTTGTTTTAGAATCTCAGTGGCGGTGATGA